CTTCTGTATGATCAAGATGTCGTTTTGAGTGAAAGACATATGATTAGATTTCTGTTGTCAGATACATTAGTACTGTGGTAGCTTTTACATACCCACACCCACACCTCAAAACCCGACTGGGTAGAGCGCGGGTATGGATATAGGTGCGTATCGAAGTGAGTTTGGATGTTCATGTAGATGTGCACTGTAAACTAGAAAATGAGTTATAGAGTTTAATCGAGGATATTCTAGGAATGCCTATATGAATTCGCCGATGAATTTCTAAATTCTTAAAAATAAGATATTCGAAACATTAAAAATACGAACTTTGATTTTCTAATTAGAAAATCGAGAGTGAATTCATATAGGCATTCCTAGAATTTCGGATTCGATATAGCAATTCGAATATTTTTTAAAAATTGGAAAATCGAATTGGATTTTCATATCATAATGAAGTATCTTTTTTTCTTCATGTTGATAATATATCATTTATAATTAATGCATCAAAATAATAAATAACTATCATTGAGCATTAATACATCAAATAATAAATAAATAAATATCATTGTAACTAATGCATCAAAATAATCAGTAACTATCATTGGTCATTAATGCATCTAAATAATAGAAAAATATCATTGATCAATAATGCATCTAAATCATAAATAAAAATCATTGATCATGCATCAAAATAATAAATATCATCGAATATTAATGCATGAGAACAATAAATAAAACCAAATCATAGTATTCTGTTCAAATTTAAAACTTGAATAATAACTAAAAAAATATAACTTATCTACTCGCTACGGCTGTCGAAGAAAATAATAAATGCACAGCATCATCGGTTGACTTATATGCATGAATGAACAATGACTCTATAGCGGTCATGGTTCAAACGATTTTCCAGAAAGTTGCTTTCATTTTTGACTTTCTCTAGAATTTATATTGATTTTCTAATTCATTTGAAAATCATTTTTTTAGAAAATCAAGCATTTTCGAATTATTCAAAATTCAATGAATAAACCATGAAACTTTAAAAATGCTTCAGCTTATTTGAGATCGATTTTCCGAAAAGTAGAATTTCAAAAAAAATTACAGTGTGGGATTTCTCTTTATCCATACTTCAACTCGATGGTTTTTAGACTAGCTTGCGGACTATTTAATTGTGTCATCAAATAGGCTGAATCGTTGTCTAATCTAGATGACAATAGAAATGTTTTCTTCACTAAGAAAATGAAAATAAACAAGTTAACATTTAAATTATTTCAACGATTTTTCTTTTGAAAGTTTCCACCCATTTTGAAAACAGTTTCGAAATTTATTTATTGTTTGTCGCAAAACATGAACAGGAATTATGTTTTTCGCTTTTTATATGTTCACATTGTTCATACAGAATTTGACTCTATCATTTTTTCTTTTATACGAGATATTGAAGTTTCGACATCGACAACACGACGGTGAGTTGGTGGCAATGTTAATCGATATATTTCTAGTGCCTTCTCTAAATTTGAAAGTGCTAATGAGAACTTGTGCATATGTTCATAGACTGCGCCGAGATCATGATGTGAAATACCAATGAATTCATGAGTCGATGGTAGCGATTTGCGTTTGATTTCAAGTGATTGTTCATAAAAATGAAGGGCTTGAATATAATCACCACGATTAAAGTGCACACTTCCTATGCAACCATAAGTCTTCCCAATACTATGATGATCTGATGGCAAACATTCGCGTTGAATCTCTAGTGCTTTATTGTGATACTTCAAGGCATCGTCATATTTCTTTTGTTTTTCGTAGAGGCGAGCGATATGATAGTAGGTTGATGCGGTATCAGACGTCTCCCGTCCTGCCAGATTGAACTTAATCTCCCGCGCTTGAGTGTAATAGTCGAGTGCTTTGACAAATTCTCCCTTTTCCTTATATTCATTGGCCAATGAGTGTAAACTAGCAGCCACAGCTTGATCATTGTCGGGAACAGCACGACTGAGTTGTAGAGATTTTTCATGGTGACGAATGGCTAGATCAATTTCACCTCGTCGTTTGGCTATGACACCCAAACCATGATGGCAAGCGGCTGCCGTCTTTCCATCTGTTGTTGATAGTTCATTAAGCAAACGTTGATAGTAACTTTCGGCTTTCTCGTATTCGGCCATTTCGAATAGGAGATTACCGAACGAACACAGATCCGTTTCATCACCCAACTTTTCTTGCAAAAAAGAGAACATCGTTGCAAAATGATGATCCCGTTCGGCGCATAACTCAAGTTGGACAATCCATAAGTTGCCTTCACGCCAAATCTTTCGCATTCGAAAGATGCATCCAATCATAAATAGAACTTCACGCTCTTCTGGATAGCAACTATGAGCCGTGATATCAGCATAAGGTTTCGTTTCGAGTGATGGATCAATATCGATTTCGAAAAGTACATGTTGTAGTTGGTCGGAAGTCGAATCGTTTTGAGCAAGAAATGTCGTTGCTTTTGTACGTTCGACAGTCGTTGAGAGAAAACTATTCATCGCGATGAACTCACCAACAGATGTATGTAATCGATGAAGTTCATCAGCAGAGGCATATTGTGCACGGTAAACTCGGAGAATCGGTGATGCATGTGATCGAGCGTGAAGATCTGTTAGTTGTTTATGTAAGTCTGTAATGAAGAAGCGAAAGGCAAAGAGCACATCGATGTCTTGCACACGTAATGCTTTGTTCAACATTTTGTAAAAACAAGACTCTTTCGTGTACCAGTAAATAGCCTTATTGCTTGAGTAATTTCGTTCAAATTCATTGATACTTTTCATCTGCTCTTTATTATCTGCATAAGTGTGGCGACATATGGCAAGTAATTCTTTCTTTGATGTGGTCGTATGAGCCATTCTTAAGAAAACCTCAATTAGAAGCTGAGAATATATGAAACTGCCGTTCTCTGTCGTTAAATTAGTGTGAGACCTTTGCTCTTTACTATTGAAAATAGTAATAGGAATGAGTGACTCCTCCAGTTGACGTCGTCGTCGATAATCTCGGGCAATAGCGGTCAGCAGTTCATTCACGTCATCGGTGACAGCAAGGATCTACTTTGAAAGAATAATGCTTATGTTGAATAGTTCGACTAATTTTTACCTTAGGATATGAACGAGCCCAAATGGCATGTTGGGCACAATTCATACAAAAAACATAGATTGAATTGACCTGGTCGAGATCATGCACGAGAGGAACAAATTCGTGGCCAGATCTGCCAGAGACAAGAAGCACGAGTGGTTCATCAACAGACTGAGCATCGATGAAAATCCGGCAGACTTCCAAATTTGTAAATATTCGAACACAATTCACATTGGCTCGCAGCTTATCAAGCAATTCTACATTATCGTTGGCTGTGTGAATTGTAGGATCGAGCCACACTAACGTAAATGTTTCAAGATTTAGGCTATTGAAATTAGTCACATCTTCCGTTTTTGTCGCTGGCCGGTGTGCTGCAAGCATATAGAGATTTGATTTCTTGCTCCATTTGAGACCCATATCTTTTGCTCTAATCAAAAAATGTCTTCAACGTGGCACACAATCGAAGTTATTTTTGGTAAAAAGAACAATAAAATTACCACTTGATATACTTGAAAAAACTCAATAAAGAGAAACGTAATATTATGTCATTTTTTTCTTTCCAAAATGAGTCATAACTTCAGAAAGAAGCCTCCAAGCAGATGAAAAACAACCACGGTTTCGATTGTGTTCAAATTGCGCCGCAGTTATGCCGTAACTGCGATTGCACTGCCACCCATAATTGTGAAAAATTGCGATGCAGTTACGCGCAATTGTGAAAAAAATTGTAGTAACCCGCAACCGGTCGCAGTTGTTTGCAGTTACGATTGAAACGCATCATAGCCGCGCCGTAACTGCGTCACAATTTTTCGCAATTACAGGTCACAGTGCGATCATCACTACGGCGCAACTGCATCGCAGTTGCTAAAAAATGGACGACATGAACATCAATTAAAATGACGACTTCAGGTTCAAAATAGTGAAGTCTTGCCCACCCAAAAAAAAGTAACAAGAATGGAAGACTGGAATTTTGGATTGTGCGACGAATAACTATGCAAACGATGTTTACAAAAATTATGGATTGAAATGAAGCAAAAAAAGAACATTTGCACATTAGAAGAATTCTTGAAATGAAACTAATATTGAAGTGCAATAATAAAAAGATCGATGATCAAGCGACTAGTCTCGGTTGTCAGTTTACATTATTTATACTAAATCTTGTTACAATTTTGAACAGAGACGAGCTGGAAGATAAAACTAGTGAACACAGTGTCAAGTTCAAAGTCATACTAAATCTAACGTTCAGATTAGACAAACATGGCCCTCAATTTCCCTAGACTAGCACCGTTCCTTCGTCGTTCGTATCTAGTCGAATGCATCTTTATGACTGACTATGTTTTGAGATGGAGACCCTCGATCAAACAAAAATGTATTATGTATCAATTTTTTAAAGTACAACCCTAGTCGAACATCTTGTAAGCAAGATCTTGCCCAAGATCTTAGGTACAGAAAAGTGAAGAGATCTTGGAAATTTAGGTACAAGATAATATGATTATCTTGTATCAAGATCATGGGGATAGATCTATAAGATCTTAGATACACGCTAAGATAAAACGTGTTGCATGTGTCGTGACTTGCGACATAATGTATGATACATTCTGAAAACGCGGTTCGAACCTATCATATAGCGCATTTATTATTTTTTTTGTAAAAGCATGTTATGAAATTTTTTCAATTTATTTTCATTTTAATTATTCCTATTCCGGATAACTGAAGTAAGCCAAATCTTGGAACCTGCCTGATCCTGAGATGACTCGATCTCCATCAGACTGCTTCAGGGTAGTTCTCTCTCGATCATCGATCGAGATCAGCATTTTCTCGAATGATTAATAGTTGAGAAAGAGTTTAGAAATAAAATTATTTCGAAAATGTATGTTTCGTATGTTCCATCACGTTGTTTATATACGGCTCTGTATGCATAAAAAAGCGGTGAATGACTAGTCAGCATGTAACCAACACACTAATGATGTCGCTTTTTGTTTTACTCAAGAGCTTGTGAGAAGATAAAAGAGAACGATACCTTTTCCATGATCTTAACAAGATCTTAAGCACAGATTTATCTGATGCAACCAAGATATACACATACAAATTATCTTTTCAAGATCTTATCAAGATCTTGCTTATCGGTCCCAAGATTTCAAGATCTTGCTTACAAGATGTTCGACAAGGAAAGTCTCATCTTTCATACAGTAAACTTCTGCCCGAAGACTGTAGCCACATGTGCCCATACACTTCACGCTTCTTCTTCATCATTCCTTTTCATTTTGTTCTTTCTTTCTGCATATGTTTTCTCCTTGGCGATGTCGAAACATGAGCGCAAAGAAATAATAAAAGTCTTGTGTGCCGAGTGAGTCAACGTTTCTACTTCCTAACATTACGTTAAACATTCTTTCCAACATACAAAAAGATAAAAAATGCCGTCATTAACTCGACCATTTGTGGGTGTGGGTTTGGGTGTAGGTGGGAGTGGGTATGTGTGTGGATGTGGTTGTGCGTGTGTGCGTGTGTTGGTGTGGATGGGTGTGACTGTCACTGACCGGATCATCAACAGCAGCACCCATACGCAAACTCACCCACACACCCACACTAGAGGCTATTGGGTCCAACCTGGGTGTGGGATGTGGGTGAGTGTGGGTGTCGCTGTGTGGGTGTGAGTGTGGTTGCGCGATGTGGATGTGGGTGTGGGGTATGATGTGGCTGTAGGTCTGGGTGTGGGTGTCGGTGCAGATTTTCTACTCTTCAAGACCCACACCCACCCACACTCACACCCAGGCTCGAACTCGATCAGTTCATTTGACAAATGTGTCGTACAACAATGTGTCGCACCTTTGCTGGGCAGAATATGTCGCAACGAGCACCTCGTGTCGCACTGGAATGTGTCGTACATTGTGTCGCAAATCACGACACATGCGACACATTTTAACTTAGTGTGCACCCACACCACCCACACCCACACCCACACCCACACCCACCGACATTCACACCCTTACCCACCCACACCCCACACTCACACCCACATCCACCACCCCACACCCACACCCACACCCCACACTCACACCCACATCCACCACCCCACACCCACACCCGTATTTTTAAGTTAAGATCTACATATGGTATCTGTTCTCGCACGTTCGAAAGCCAGCGCTGGTTCCATTAAGCTTCGGGTCTTTCAAGTGGATTTTTGGATGTCAGTTGAGATCATTCTAGTTCATTCAGGGTCATGCCATGAATCATCTCGACACTTCAATGTCATCGAATTTAGTCCAATCCCGTTTTCTCCAAATAACATGAACTTATCATGCCGATTTGAAATGAACATGAAACTAACCTTTGTTTTGCTTATTTTTAATATGATGGAATGATATTCGTTATCTGATAGAACTGTTGGATATATTATCTTTCGATAAAAATTGGCAACATGAAACTGTAGAATTAATATCAAGTTATTTTGTAAAAGAGAACAGCTAGCTAATATTTTATATATATATATCGAGAAACAACAAATGCTTCTATTATTCGTTGTCTATAGATAAAGAAATTAATATAATTGATATGACTCATGAGCGAGGTTGAGCATATGTTAGCAAATTATATTCGTCATAAATCTTATGAAACAATCAAGTTATGAAATCATAATTTAAACATCAATATAGGAAAAGAATTTACAAAGATCTACATTTGAACATGTCTTTTTTCGTTCAGAACGCGAACGAATGGTTTCGAATCATGCTACACTAGATACTTCTTTTTTGGTATAAAAAAGAACTTTTTTCCATAGAAATCTCTTATATTCGTCTATCTATATAAATTATTTTATCATATTTGCAGCATTTTATCATAGGTTTCTTAATAATTTGTTTGTTAGAAATTTTTAAGTTTTCATTGGAAAATATATTGTAGTCAATATAAGAAGTAGGAGTACAATCGATTTACAAATCGTTCGACCGTAACAAATCATTTGAGCATGTCCTCTATATCTCTCATTTTTTGCAATATTGATTACAATAAATCCTTTCCAAAATCTTTAAAATTTACAGGAAAGAAGTTAGTAAGAAAACAAAGAACTTTCAGCCGAAGAAAACGAAATTATGATTTTTGTTTATCACCTAAACTCTAAATCGAAGCGATCCATATAACTATGATTATGATTAGAGAATAGATGTCATTGGAATTAAATAATATGAAAACAATCCTGAAACAAAAACTATGATATATCCTCCTTTTAGTTTATTTCAATTCGTCAGCTTCTTATCTAGGAATATATAATTTGATATTTCTAATTAAAGATGTACATTTCTTTACACAGTATTAAATAAATAGGTTATGAAAATGTTCCAACTTTTATTGAACACAAAGTAAATAATGTTCTTTAACAATCCGTACAACAAGTCAATGATGAAAAATATATGTTGAACTGAAACTTGAATGAGATACTGTGATGACTATAAACAAGCTTCCACTAGTTTTCTCTTTTGAAAAATAATTTCTTTCGATGAATCAAGAATATAATAACATGAATCTAATTTTCTAACTATTGGTATTACTATAAATTCAATGAATACTGAGCTCTAACATGTTCCTGAGAAATTCAATTTTTTCAGTAAAATATAGCACACGAAAG